TATTATTCAAAATCGTATTTTAATTAAGACACTCTCCGCTACCGCATACTTGTTTTTTAAAAAAATCCTACAAAAATTGTCGTCAGTAACTTTAAAAAACCCCACTTCACAAAGGCTCGGCATGGGAAATCCATGTTAAAAATTGAAACTTAAATCTTCCATATTTTGTGGAATTTAACATTGCTACCCCTATTATCCAAAAAGGCTACTTATAAATAAGATCATAAACTATGTATATCGCAAATTTAAAGAAAATCCTAGGAAAATCAATAATTCGGAGAACGTCCTTAAAAAAGTATGAAAAAAAAAGTAAAAAAAAAAAAAAAAAAAAAAAAAAAAAAAAAACATTTAAGTCTCAGAAGAAAGCAGTTTTCCCTCTGCTGTTAATTATCTCGAGTCTCGTGTTTAATTGTGCATTCCGCGATTAAGCGAAAATTTAAAGTCTTCTTCTTCGAAAGCGGCTCTTCCTCGGATTGCGCACTTTCGAGAATAATGTATATTTTATAAAGATTCGTACTCTTTGCCCCAGGCTGATGCAAATGGAGGTGATGTCCCTGGAGGACGTGTACTGGATGGAGGACAATGCGGTGCGAACGGCTCTTGGCAAGGATCTGCCGCGATGGAAACAGGCCAGACAGACGTTGCCTATTTCAAAAGAGGATTTAGAAACCCTCAAGGCGGATCTGTGGAGCGCCGTTGTGAAGAACAGCCAACACCAAGACGCCTGGACATGGGGTATATTATATGCGGCGATATTGTCGCCTTTTAATCTCTTGCTCCTTTATTTCACAACAAAAACCAAAATCCTTCTTCTTCGAAGTTTCGCGTCGTGAATTCGAACGGAATCTATAATTAGACTTTTGACTCCTGCAAAACGTGCAAAAGGAATTTTCCGGTTTGCCGCCGCGCGGCCTCCGTCCATCGTCCGACTTTCCCAGAATAGAATTTAACGGGAAGAGTATACGCGCGTGCGAAAATACGAAGTTCGTTCGGCCGAGGTTCAAAGCAGCAGCCAGGTTTGAAGATCGAAGCGATGCACGTTTTGAAGCAAAACTAAATCTCGGAAATCGGTTTGCTTTGTTTTTTTTTTTCATCTTCGAATCAATATACATACATATCGGTCTTTTATTTCTCCGAAACATTCAACGAGCGCGTTTCGAACGCGCAGAGACGGAAAAAAAAAAAAAAAAAAACACTTTGTTCTATTCGCCAGGTGGTATGTTGGTGGTTTCCGTGTCGGTTGCGGGGTTGGTTACTCTGGCTGCTATGACGCAGCCCGCTCTGGCACCCGAAGCAAAACACTCTCTTCTGCAGTACGTCACAGGGAAATATTTATTGCCGAGCAACTGCCGCGTTCACTTCGAGTGGGAAGAGCCTCAGCTGGTCGGCGAAACGATGACTTTTACGGTTAAAGTGAGTGGATTGATCGCCGCCGGGACTCTCTCTTTTATACATTCGTACAACGATCTTGAAATAAGAACAATAACAAAATTAAATATAAAAAGAAGGTCTGTTACGAGCTAAATAGAAGAACTTTGTATTTATTTAATTATAATATCAAAAAAACGTATAATGAAATATAGGTAACGCACGCAAACGTTTCGACTCTTACTTGAGTCATCTTCAGTGAACATAAAAAATTAAAACAAATAAAGCTTATTGAAGCTCGATAAGTTACTAAACTAAGAAATAATTACGGTCATCCGAGCCGATCGCAGGATGTTGTGCGGAAAACTACGTATATATATTATTATTATTTTTTTTTATTATTTATTATACCTTCAT